CGTCTCGTCAGCAAAATTTTGAGACTTTTTATTTCAATAATTAGTGGTGCAATGCGAAGATAGAAAACAGCCTGAGCAGCGACATTTCCGTCTATGATTCTTCAATCTCCAACCGTTAAGGGTTCTTTTACGTGCAAGCCAATGCGCATAAGCAAGTTTTTGCGCCCCCCCCCCCCACACATTCTGTGTTTGCGCCCCTCCCCCCTCGCAGTTTCTGTTTCCAACATTCTAATCATAATTATAATGCTCAACCAGTGTCAAACATATATTGAGGGTTTAACGTCCACTCGACACAAACTAGGTACTTACGGGACTATCCTATGGTTCAATTTTATTACAATAATTCGCTTTGGCATGGGAGTATTTAGCCGTGGGAGGACCCGGAGAAATCCCACGAGGTTAGACAGGGAATCGAAACCACGCCACTTGACTCAATGACAGACTTTAAAATCCAATGCGTTAACCAATCGTTCACCCCCTCGCTGACAAGTGAAAATCAGGCTTTAAATTTCCCCGAATGTTCTTCTCGGCCCGGGTGGTTGGATGGCCGAATGGGTAGCACGTGCGCGCAGTATCATGAGGCGTGGTTTCGATTCCCCGGTTGCACGTGACAAGGAGTAGGGTTGCCTGTCCAACCTCGTGGATTTTCTCCGGGTCCTCCGGTTTCCTCCCACTGCTAAAAACACCTACGCGCAAACGAATTATTAAAATAAAATTAAACCATATGTTAGTCCCGAAATGACCTAGTCTGTGTCGAGTGGACGTTAAACCCAATTTCTCTCTTCTCGACACACGCCACGACTGAAACCCGGGTTGAAGGGCCACCGCTGCTCCGTAAATACCAGATGCTGGTTTAAAATGTATCCCATCATTTGATTATTAGTTTTAATAAATGGCATGGAATGGGTGTCAGGGGTTGACCGGGATTTGTTGTTGTTCTTAGTGTTTAACGTCCGCTTCCACCGAAGTTGATATCACAGACAAATTGTCCTGTTTTAATTTTTATTATCTTAGCGCACGCGCAGGGGTCTTTTCTGTGGGAGGAAACCGGAGTACCCGGAGTAAACCCACGAGGTTGAGAAGGCGCCCCTATCTTCAAGCCACATACGCTCACACCAGGGATCAAAACCACAACCGCAAGCCAGAAGTGACCGGCCAGCTAGAGGTGACCGGCCAGCTAGAGGTGACCGGCCGGCCAGCTAGAGGTGACCGGCCAACTAGAGGTCGAAGCGTGACACTCTAGACCACTAGCCCATCCCTACCTCCCGGTCTGGTTTTAATTGAATTTTTGATTTAAACCACACATACATATTTATGAATTAGACTTAACATGACGTCATTTCCTGTCATGTGGATGACCTAGTGTTCTAGAGTGGTTTCGATCCCTGGTGTGAGCGTACGTGGGTTTTCTCACGGTGCTCTGGTTTCCTCCCACAGGAAAGAACATTGCGCATGCGCTAAAATAATACAAATGAAAATATGACTTGTCTGCGATATGACCATCGGTGGAAGCGGACGTTAAACATCAAGAACAAAAACAATAGGCTGGGTAGTCGGTGATTTTATCTTTGGTTAAGTCTCGATCACTAAGAGTTTAACACTGTTTGGATAGAAAATTCTCGATTGTCGAGTCCTGGTTAAAAAAAAGGGCGTTAGATTAGAGAGGATCTGTTGTTATTAAATATATTTCTTCTCGCTTCAGTCCATGTCGGATGCTCTTACAACATGACGAGGAAGAGAATCAGTTTCATTGAGCTGGAAACATCCTCATTCGACAAAAAGAGAACAAGACTTAAACATTCCATTATTGGTGATTCAAGTCTTTAATGACAAACTATGAAGTTTTACAAATCCAATAAAACCAATAATTCGTGTATCTCCTCATTGTGTCATCAATGTATACAATTTTTTAAATTTCTCATCCAAATCTCAAATTACTTTGTTAACAGGTTTCCAATTTGGGGTTTTCGCTTTTTGAAACCAGCAACATTCATTCTGGAGAATTTGTTTTTACTGTAGAAAACTCTAAAGTGCATTTGTACATGAAGTTAAGGCGATTGGGTTTCATTTGGAACGTGATTTATTGAATGGGGAGATGCAGGGCAGTTTGTTTGTTTTGATAAAAATTTGGTCTAACACAGGAAGTAGACTCATATTACTAGATATCGCCAGGAACGCCCTTCTTTACGAGAAATGATTTTAATTTCAGAATTATTTAACTACATCAAGAGATATTATTAAAGATACATTATGGGAGATTAGATAAAGAGCTGGCAGTTCTCACTATAATACTTAAAAACTGAAAATTTCAGTCAAATTGATCCACTCTGAACCAAGATTTTAGCGATTGAATTTTCGGCCTAGCCTCGATCATCATTACTAAAGTCTGTACGATAAAAAAAACATAGTCCCTGTTCTACAATTAATAATAAAATTATGAATGGAAGTCGAACAGCAAGTCGGAACCTAATCCAATAAAAAATCTCAAGCTAGCGTTGACATAGAGAGTTGATTATGGTCTGGATAAGTTGATTATGGTCTGGATAAGCTAATTAATGTCTACTTAATAATTTAGATAACATTTCAGGCCTGAAGAAAGACCTGCAATAGGCAGATTTAACTCTTGCATAATGTATGTTTAACTTGGCTTTCCGAAACCATGCCTACTAGGTGGGCGTTAACCTCGGAGTAATGGCTGCCAGGAAAGCTACGAAAGCTGGTGTTCAAATGTCAAAGTACAAAATTGTTGTTCTTAGTGTTTAACGTCCGCTTCCACCGAAGGTGATATCGCAGACAAGTCTTATTTTTCATTTTTATTATCTCAGCGCCCGCGCAGGGGTCTTTCCTGTGGGGGGAGGGACCGGAGTACCTGGGGGAAAATCACGAGGTTGAGAATGCGCCCCTAACTCCAAGCCACATACGCTCACACCAGGGATCGAAACCACAGCCGCAAGCCACTCCCCCCCCCCCAATTTCTGACCTAATGTGTGACCATTGATACGAGGTGTTTCAGATAGCGTCAGGAGTGTGTCATTCTGCACACGGAGCCACGGTGGCTTAGTGGGTAAGACGCTGGCTCGCTAGACTGGAGGTCGGGTGTTCGATCCCTGCATTCATCCAGATTTTCCGACGTGGTTTCCCCTTGTGATGCAGGACGGAGGGCCTGACAAGGACAGCTGTCTAGTCCTTCGGATGATACGAAAAACCGAGGTCCCGTGTATACATTGGAATGCACGTAAACGATCCCTTGGCAGTTGGAATTCGATATAAGAGTAGGCCGTAGCGCCGCTGCTCGGGCAAAATTTCTCTCATAGTAAAATGTATGTCGCATGGCCGTCTTCATTAGCCCAGTATAGGAGCAGAACAGTAGGACGTTAAACCCCATTTCATTTCATTTGATTTTTCATTTCATTCTGCACACAGAGAACTATCTACTTTGAGAATAGACCTCTACCTTGAATGGCCGCCATATCTAAAACCTTATACACTATGTTTTATTCTGTTCTACCGCGTTTCACATCTGTCATGCACACGACGATTAAAGGGACAATAACACTCTGGCTGGCTTGACAGCTCCAAAAAATAAAAAATAGCCTTATTCTAAGTTCTAGATGTTTATGTGTCTTACCTGTTGTGTAAATTATCCATTACATCCTATTTTACTTGTCCAGAGGGTTCAAAAATATTTTAAAATCCAAGTCACATTTGAAAAAGCTTTACGTCAGGCTTTTCAAATCATTTAGTTGAATTTTTCCAATTTTTTAAATTAGGTGTGTTAAGATGAAATGTATATCACCAATTAATTGGAATATTGTAAAATAGTACAATTTGTTGACCAGAATAAAGATTGGGACATTTTATTCAGTTACAACAAGATTGGTATCGAGCCTTTAAATAAAGATTTTCAATTTTATTAAATGGAAGCGGAAATTATACTTAGGACTTTCAACTAAAATAGTAGATTTAGGACTCAAAATGTTTGTCAACTAGCTTAGTGCCTGTTCTCAAGGGGAGCTAACTGTAGACTGGCACCCTAAGTTTAGTATTGGAGTGTGGGTGTCCCTGTACGATTGAAGTGTATAGTCAATTAAAGTAACAAGTGGTACGAGATGTTTCCGACAGCACCAGTTGGATTTGGGTCGTATTAACTTGACGTGAACCCAAACCATTAGTCCGCCCCCCGCTGTGAATATCAATTGATAATTTAATACCTGCGTAATAACCCTATTTATAGTACGGGGAGTTGCGTCACGCCACTACCCCGCCCCCTTTTCTAGATTGCTTGTCTCATTAGTTGTCTGTATGAAGCCAAGTAATAACATTTCTGTCTTCATAGTCACTTCTTACCCTTCGTCTTTCGTCATCGACGCCTTACAAGAATTTTGAATTCTAAACGTAATACTTTGGATGTAAATAAAGGAATCCGTTGAAGGCCTTTTGGCGTAACGATTAAAGGATTTAATGCCGTGTTGACTAAAATACTGATTGACTGATTAAAAGGCTTTAATGACGTAATGAATAAAATACCGTCATGACGTAATGAATAAACGGCTTTAATGACGTAATATGTAAAAATGAAATTAAATGGGGTTTAACGTCCTACTGTTCTGCTCCGACTGGGCTAATGAAGACGGGCATACGCGATACAGTGTGCTATAAGGGGAATTTTGCCCGGACAGTGGCACTACGGCCTACTCTTATATCGAATTCCAACTGTCAAGAGATCTTTTACGTGCACGCCAATGTGTACACGGAACCTCGGTTTTTTGCCCCATCCGAACGACTAGACAGCTGTCCTTGTCAGTGATAAGTAAAAGACTTTAATGACGTAATGAATAAAAGGTTTTAATGACGTAATGAATAAAAGGCTTTAATGACGTAATGAATAAAATGCTTTTATGACGTAATGAGTAAAGGGTTTTTATGACGTAATGGGTAAAATGGTTTTATGACGTAATGGGTAAAATGGTTTTATGACGTATTGTATTGTTTATTTACAGGGTGAAGACAGAAAGAGTAGGTGTAGACTTGTAGCTGATAGAATGATCATAGGAATAACAGTAAGTAATCACGATTCATCTCTTATTAATAACAATACTATTATTAGTAACAGTATCAGGACCGGGACTATTATTAGTAACAGTACCAGGACGGGTGTTATTATTAGTAACGATACCAGGGCCGGTGCTATTATTAGTAACGATACCAGGACCGGTGTCATTATTAGTAACGATACCAGGGCCGGTGTTATTATTAGTAACGATACCAGGGCCGGTGTTATTATTAGTAACGATACTAGGGCCGGTGTTATTATTAGTAACGATACTAGGGCCGGTGCTATTTTTAGTAACACTATAAGGACCGGGACTATTATTAGTAACAGTACTAGGACCGGTGTTATTATTAGTAACGATACCAGGGCCGGTGCTATTATTAGTAACGATACCAGGACCGGTGTTATTATTAGTAACGATACCAGGGCCGGTGTTATTATTAGTAACGATACCAGGGCCGGTGTTATTATTAGTAACGATACTAGGGCCGGTGTTATTATTAGTAACGATACTAGGGCCGGTGTTATTATTAGTAACGATACTAGGGCCGGTGTTATTATTAGTAACGATACTAGGGCCGGTGTTATTATTAGTATCAGTTCCAAGACTGGTGCTATTATTAGTATCAGTACCAGGGCAGGTGTTATTATGCCCAGGACCGGTGTTATTATGTTCAGGGCAGATACTATTATTAGTAACAATATAAAGTAATGTATAGAAAGTGGTTAGAAATTATACTGTAGTCATTAATTAATTAGCTGTAAAAGATGGCACTACTGGTGTAAAAGCATGGCTATTTATAACACCCATCACGATTGACAATGCTGTTGTATATCATTCAATAGTCACAGTTTTAACACCTTAGTGACAAAACACCTACTTTATGACTACTGCCCCATTTTAACTGACTAATAAACATTATGTATATAAAATAACGGCTTTGATCTGTTAGTGTTGCTAATGCCCCCGCCAGACCGGGGTGGCGTCCTTACTGCGATGCTGCGACCGTACGGCGACCAGAAAATGTACAAGGTCGCCGGCAAACGTGAACACAACAGAAGAAAATGTCCCAAAAAATTACAAACTTGAAAAAAGTCGCATTCTCATAGCTTTCCGGTTCAGAACGCAAAACCTTGGCGTTTGTTTTGAACATGCTCAAATCCAACGCTGTGACTCGGCGATCATTGGCGACCATGGAGACCACAGCACGATAGCTGTCGTTTCTACCACGCTTATGACGATCTTGACGCGCTCGAAAACCAATTTTCAACGCCGTAGCAGCGCAGTAAGGGCGCCACGCCGGTCTGACGGGGGTATTATACTAGGTTCCCACTACCACGAATCGTGCTACGATTGAAATCGTGGTTTTAATCGTGGAGTAATCGTGATGATCGAATCAGGTCTTATATATTGAGGTCAGTCGTAACAATCGTGTTGATCGTATTGAAACGTATCCGAACGTACCTGCACCTACCAGATCGTGAACTCAATTGGGACAATCCTATCGTAATGTATCGCACGAGAGAGAGAGAGAGAGGGGGGGGGGGTAACGTCCACTCGACACAAATTAGGTTATTTTAGGACTAACACATGGTTCAATTTTATTTCAATAATTCGCTTGCGAGTAGGAGACTTTAGCAGTGGGAGGGAACTGGAGGACCCGGAGAAAACCCACGAGGCTGGACAGGCGACCCTACTCCTTGTCAAGTACACACGACAGTGGGAACGTAGCATTAGTCATCACTATCAAATTGACAGTGTTGACACTCCAGTTATTGTCATTATTTTACGTAGAACCGTGCATCTGTCGATTATCTTAAAACCTCCAATTACGTACAGACTTGTCGGAATTTCAAATCTACTTCCCGCAATGGCGGATTACTAGATCGTCAGGAACGTTTGATTTCAGACAGTTGCGGAATTGTTTTTTTATCCCCCGGATTTTTTTGTAATCAGATGTACATCTGCGTCTGAAGTTTAACTAAAACTGGGTAGATTTTTATTTTAATATTTAAAATGGATTGTTAGATTTAGACTGGGTCGTATAATGTAAGTTGCTATAGACACGGGTAATATACGTTGCTATAGATACGCGTGACACATGTTACTATAGATAAGTGAATATGTTTCTCCGGGTATCATCCAGACGCCAAATCTCAAACCGTTATTTCTAATATCAATAAATTTAATGTTGATTAGTTCCCAACTACATGTTCGGGTATTTTTTTCTGTTTCAGAGACAATATTACATTCAATTTAATTGCCCAAATTTCTCTATTTTTTCCCCACTGTCACCAAGTACCGATTTAGCCGAATCACGGTGACATTAACAGTTTTTACTAAGGACGTGACATGAAAGGAAATGGGGTTTAATGTCCTACTGCCCTGCTCCGAACTGGACTAAAGAAGACGGGCATATGCCATACAGTGTGCTATGAGGGAAATTTTTCCCGGACAGCGGCTTCTCTTATATCGAATTCCAACTGTCAAGCGATCTTTTACTTGCACGCCAGTGTACACGGGACCTCGGTTTTTCGTGGATACACATATTGATAATATTAGAGATTGTTGATATTACAGATTGAAATGTTAGTCTTTACGATATTTTTTTGAATGTAACAATTAATTTTAAAAGGGTGTTTAGTGAAATAGATATAAAAATAAGTGAAATTTTTGTTAGAATTTCTCTGACCCCCATTTCCCACTGTTTGGGCGATATCCATGTCTAAGTCTCCCAGGCCCCTTTTACGTGCGCGCTAACGTTTGTACGGGGCCTCAGGTTTTCGCCCAAGCCTTGCAACTGGCTGAATAATAACACACACAGAGAGAGAGAGAGAGAGAGAGAGAGAGAAAGAGAGAGAGAGAGGGGTGAGAGATTGGAGAGAGAGATAGAGAGAAGGATGGTTTAACGTCCACTCGGCACAAACTGGGTCGTTTTTGGGACTAACATATGGTTCTATTTTATTTAAATAATTCGCCTGCGCGTAGGGGTCTTTAGCAGTGGGAGAAAACCAGAGAACCCGGAGAAAACCCACGAGGTTGGGCCGGTGACCTTACTCCTTGTCACGTATAACCTGGGAATCGAAACCACGCCAGTTGACTCAATGACAGACCTTATGATACAACACGCACGCGCTAACCATTCGACCCTCCAACCCTCCAGCTCATATAAATATAAGATCAATTATAGCCATACAGAAATCCAGGTCATACAAAACATTTCTTAACCGTTTTATTGCCTCCTAATTTTATTTTCTAATAATTTATTGCTTTCTCATCTGACAGACATAATAATATATAAAACTAATTTTACAAAAAGATAATGGATGATTAATTATACGTATGTCCATATGAGGTCTATTTATCAACGCCTGTATTGTCCAAATAAGAAACGCTAATGACATTATGTGAATTATTGCTATCGTTTGACATTATAAAACAATAGATAGAAGCTCAGAAAGAGGTAGAAAAAACATCAAAGACAAAAAAAATACATGAAGCGAAAAAGATTGCGCTATATTACAAAGGAGGGCAACAGAACTAATCGGTGGTTTATTTCTTCATATTTTTACATCTCTAGTGTTTAGTTGTGACAGAAATGTGCAAACTAAGCTTTCTTGGTTTTAAATGATAGATTACATCCAGTAGTGTTACAGACAAAAAAGGCCCATCAATTGGCCAAAGGGAAAAATTTTGAGAATATAATTCACTAAATAGTTGAAATGTTGAGACACAAATGGATACAGTATCGCCTGTTTGTCAGATATGCAGTGAACCATATGATAATGAACAGCCCACCGTTATTCCGAAAAGAACGGTTATTGGAGGCCTTAATCAGGCGGCTAAGCTGGGAAATTATGGTCGTGATTTTAAGCTCAGTGAAAAATAACATGTGGAATGTCGCAATGTTTCTAATGGATACACTACATTTCTTGGGGGGTGGATGGCCGAATAGTTAGCACGTGCGCGCTGTATCATAAGGTCTGTCATTGAGTCAACTGGTGTGGTTTCGGTTCCCCGGTTCTCTCGTATTGCATTTCCATAGCCTGTTTCAAATATCTACTTCAATGTTCTTAATTCCCTGACAACGAGAAAGTAAATTGTAGAATTGCTTGGCTATATTGGACCTTGTATCATCTATAGACAAGATCTGTGTTAGAGTATTTGGTTGAACATCAATGAACAAGAGTTATATAAAATGAAGTTACCATGGGTCCAATATAAAAACAAGTATGGCGGTGTTTTGACAATTACGTTTTGTGATAGTTCTGCTAGTTTTTGTAATGGAAGACTTGTAATGTGGTTATCTAGATTAAGTCCTCCGATATACTTTCTTTTAAAACACTCAAACCAATTGGTTTTCTACAACAACCGCTTAATAGTCCGTTTAGACATATTCAATATGTCATTTTAACCCGTCTTCATTAGCAGTTGGATCCACAGTGACTCAGTGAGTAGGGCGTTCTCTCGCTGACCTGGAGGTCCCGTGTTGGGTCCTTGTGTTGGCCAGAATTCTCCGGCGCTTTTTCTCCTTGTCTGTGGTACAGGACCAAGGGATTGGCAAGGGATTGGCAAGGGACAGCGTATAGTCGTTCGGATGGGGCACAATCTGGTTAAAACACAGATCCTATTTCGTTTCGTTTTTATTGTTTCAAAAATTCGATCCCTGCATTGGCCGAGAAAGTTCATCCAGATTTTCCGGCGTGGTTCTCCCTTGTCAGTGATGCAGGACGGAGGGGCTGACAAGGACAGTTGTCTAGTCGTTTGGATGGGACGAAAAACCGAGGTCCCGTGTACACATTGGCGTACACGTAAAAGATCCCTTGATAGTTGGAATTCGATATAAGAGTAGGCCGTAGTGCGGCTGTCCGGGCAAAATTTCCCTCATAGCACACTGTATGGCGTATGCCCGTCTTCATTAGCCCAGTTCGAGCAAAACAGTAGGACGTTAAACCCCATTTCATTTCATTCCATTTCTATAGTTCAAAATTTCGTTTTACTTGTCT